GAATCTTTAAGTGTTGGCACATTAGGCTTATCAATATTGTATAATATATCAATAATTGATCAATTAATACTTCAAAGGAGTTGATTTTCAATTATATATGCTTTTAAACATTCTTTATAAAACATGAAATAAATTTTTAAATGGTCATCTGGGCAACATTCATATATTATCATGGAAATCTTTTTGTATTTCCTTCTGTATTCTTCTTCGTACCTAAGCATTACTACCTGAAAGTGAAAAAATAATAATTGACGAAAGAACTATTAATAAAATAAATAAATATAAAAAAATAAAGCCTAAACTAGAACAACTGTAGAGAATTACTAGACAAAGACAGGAAAAGAAAAGAAGATACATATAAGAGAAAAACGACACCACCCAAATAATGAACTCAAATATATAGAAAACCTTAACAGAGAGAAAGAATTCAGGGCATTCTATAAGAAAGTTAACATCAACAGAAAATAATTCAAGGCAACCACAAGACAATGCAGAGGTTAGAATGGCGACCTATTAACAACAAGGAAAGATGTATTGAATAGATAGGCGGAATACTTGAACCAGGCACTTAATATGGAGGAAGAAAAAGAAAACCGGAAAGACGAAAGAGATGAGGTAAGGTGAGCAAACGACAGGGAAGAGGAACCCAACGATTCTTGAAGTTAAAGATGCAGTTAAAAAAAACTAGCCAAATCACCCGAAGTAGATAATCTCCCAGCTGAACTATATAAAGAAGAAAGAAGGTGGCCATGATACCATAATGGCATTACAACAGCTTATAAAAGAAATATGGACAATGAAATCCGTCTCCAATGATTGAAATATTGGAATACTTTCTCCCGTACTCAAAAAAGGAGATATCTTTGAATGCTCTAACTACAGAGGAATTACGCTTCTAAATGCAGCGTATAAAATATTCTCCACAGTACTATGTCACCGTATGGCACCATATGCAGAACGGATAGTAGGTAAATATCATGCAGGAGGTAGAAAATATATATTTATAGACTACAAAGCAGCTTACGACTCTGTGAATTGAAGAGAAATGTTCAACGCAACGAAAGAGCTAGGAATACCAAATTGGTACCAGTTGGTAAATTTAACTAAACTCTTGAAACATTTGAATGTACGAATTCGAGGGAACTGTCTGTCTGAAGAGACCATCTCTCCTGTATACTGTTCAATCTGGCTCATAAAAAAGTAATGCGTATGTCACAAATCGTAACCACTGGTTCAATATTGTTAGGAGAACGGAAAACGCTGTACGAGAGGCGTATCTAGCATTAAAAGAATCAGCTACAAAAATGGGTTTAATATAAACACCAACAAATCAAAGTAAATGAAAATAAGCACGCAATTACAAATCCTACCACCATAAAAAACGATGTCATCGAAGCAGTGAACGAATTTGTATATCTGAAAGCGTTTTAACACTAAAAATAATACTAGCGCAGAGATAAACCGCAAAATTTGCATGGCCAACAAATGGTATTTTGGGCTCAATCTCCTCCTTAAATGTACAATTATATCGAGAAATACAAAAATAAAACTCTAAAAAACTTTATATTCCTCTAAATTCTAATAACTGTAGGAGAAAAACCGGAAAGCCTACAAATCGAAATGGGAACTATAAAACCAACAGACAATTTTAAGTACTTGGGAGTCTAAATAACATCAAAAGCAGAAAGTAGCGAAGAAATACATTCCAGGATTGGCCAAGCAAGATCAGCCACCAGACAGCTACACGGACTATTATGAAATAAAAAAATAACAAAAGAAAATAAAAGAAGAATTTATAAAACAATAATAGAAAGTATTGGACTGTACGGCGCTGAACTCTGGGAAATAAACCAAAGAAACAAATCAAAAATTAAGGCCATGAAAATGAACTACTGGAGACGATGTTGCCAGCTCACTAGACTTGATAGGGTGAGAAACGAAGATAATCGGAGAGAAATGGAAATCGATCTAGACATAATAGACACAACCGAAGCCAAAAGACTTAACTGGTATGGACACCTTCAGAGAATGCCGGAAAATAGATGGCCAAAAACATAGAAGAATGGACTCCGCCAACTAGAAGAAAACGAGGTAGACCAAGACGATCCTGGAGAGACGATATCGACGATGCAATGACCGCCAGAGATCTAACAACTGAAAATTGCTTCGACAGAAAACGCTGGAAATTAGGATGCGAGAAGCGGCGCCAGCTGTAGAAGACTCGCTTGTTATATATTTATATAAATTCTAATAACTTTAAATTCCTCTTCAATGACGCTTCTCCAACCATTTAACATCTCCTCTGACGTTTCTTGACACAATATCATTCACAAAGAACATTGACCAAGGAGCCCCCTCCCTTACCTTTTCTGTTAGTATATCCATATCAATATTATACAGGGTGGGACTCAGTGAAGAACCTAGATAAAAACCAACTGCCACTAAAAAATCTTCGGCCAATCCGACACAAGACCTTACTTTGGTGAATGCTTCCTTATACAAATCCTTCACGAGTCTAACGTACTACTCATGAACTCATTTCTCTCTTATACATTTCCATAACTCAGGTCTAAAAACAAAGTAAAGATTGCTGTGATGGTAGCCAACCTCCGATAGGAGACGGTACTGCAAGAAGAAGAAAAACTGTGTCGTACGCCTTCTCAAGATCTGTAAATATCAAATGTAGCTATTTTTTTATCTCACCGTATTTCTCTATCAATGGTCTCAAAACAAACAAAGCAATCGTTTTCCTTTTTCCTGGCATAAACAAAAACTATTCTTCTCTCATTGATGTCACCTAATCTCCCTCATAATTTGCATTATTTGTGGTTTTACTCCGAGTGGATCCAAGTTTCGCTTGAATGTCCGCTTTATCGTTATGCAATCATACCACCATGCTCTCCTTCATCTACTGGGTATGCTTTCTTCCTCATATATTATACTCAACATTTGAATGCTGCCATAAAACATCATCCTCTTTCTCTAATAGAGAGTCTCCTTAGATAATGGAAGTAGGAGTATTTATACTGCATTAGTGAAGTTTCAGTCAAGTTCAAATTGTTCTGTAGTTTCTTGAGTATATTAGGTTTTTTTGCTACCTTTGTGTTTTACAATGTATTGTAACCTTACCGCGACTCAGTGTTGTCGATTATGTTATGTTTTAACAAGCAACTAGATAAGAAACTGTCATCCCAGTCTTTTCCCTTTGCTGATTTTAACTATCTTAATTTGTAGTATCTTAATTATTTAACACACCTCTTGGTTGTTGATATTGTATAGACTTTATGAATTTAAGTTTATGATATTTATCAATATGCTTTAGTCATGCTGTGAATGGTTAACTGACGCTTAGTCTAAGTCACAAAAAAAGTTAAGAGACACTTTTGATAGGAAATTTAATTTCTTACGAGAAGAATTTTATGCCTAACCATTTTGTCATAGATTTTATAATTTTTGATATATTTAGGATTATAATATATAGATCCGAAAAATGTATGTCATTAACGTTGATTTTGTATTCTAAAGTTGTTGCTGCGTTTTGTACAACTTTTTTAGCCAGAACCTGTTTAAATTCCAGTTCGTTTTCTTCTGGTGCACTCCATTACTGGAGATTTGCCATCACTACATCAAAATGTTCTCTATTCTACGCCACAGTAATTGTTGAACGTTCATGTCAGTCCACGTTCTGATATTGCGAAGCCATGACATGGCTCTTCTGTCTACTCCTCTTTTACCCTCTATTTTCCCTTCAATTATTATTAGTAGGAGGTTATATTTGTCATTTCTTATTATGTGCCTAGGTACGAGGTCTTTCTTTTCCTTATAGTTGTTATACATTCTAATTCTCTGTTTATGGTGTTTAATAATGTTCGATTGGTAATGTGTTATGTACATGATATTTTGAGCAATCTGCGATAAAACCATATTTCAATGGCTTCTAACGATCTCATGGTATTTAATTTTAATGACCAGGCTTTAACTCTTTACAGAAAGACTGACCAAACGTAACATTTAATAACTCTAATCCGGATGTATATGCTAGATTTTCGGTTAAAGATAATTTCCTTCCATTTCAGCTATGATCTACCTTTTAGGTTCATAGTTGGAATGCAGATAGTTTTTAAAAACTCTAAGGTCCGACTTGATACAAACAAATTAACTTTGATGGTACACAAGGCAAATAACGAACACAGTAGTTAATCAAATCTTGCCCAAGTACTTTCGATCACTAGTTCATCCTCAGGGGCATTTCGTCAGTTGTGGCCTATCCAGCAGTAACAGAATGTCATAAATGTAAATTGGGACATAACAAATTCACTAAACAAAGACAAACAAACACTTTAAAATTTAAAAATTGGAGAAGCTACATTTTATATAGAAGCCGGAGACAGAATCATGATCTACCTTGGATAATTCTTCTATATAAAATGTAGCTTCTCCAATTTTTAAATTTTAAAGTGTTTGTTTGTCTTTGTTTAGTGTATTTGTTATGTCCCAATTTACATTTATGACATTCTATTACTGTTGGATATGCCACAACTGACGAAATGCCCCTGAGGATGATCTTGTGATCGAAAGTACTTGGGCAAGATTTGATTAACTACTGTGTTCGATATTTGCCTTGTGTACCATCAAAGTTCATTTATTCGAACATTCAACCTTATATTGACAAACAAATTAAGCTATTTTACACATTTATCAAAAAGCCAATAGGTGATGGCGTTTCGCTGAAAACAAGAGTAAGCAAATCACACAAACAGTAATTAATTCTTACTTTTTTTGTAGATCATACATTCTATTACATAGAAGTAGATTTGACATACATTTTGTCCAATAGTGCTGGTTATGGTCTTATATTATCTTACTTGCTAAGAGTCCATGATGGTGTTCAACTTTATTTGGGTATATCTGATTTTAACAAATTTGGAAAACCTAGGGACTTCGACAGAGTTAACGCAAAATACAATAGATACTCTAAATTCCAATACTGTTACCTTCAGTTTATGATACTCGGTGCCGTAATTGGATCTACTGCATTTCGTGGACAGGAATGTGAACAATTGAATGAAGAAAGACATACTGATGAAGTTTGTGGACTTTTTGCTTACACCTGGATGCCATTTAATATAAATTTTTTCCCCGCCAAACAAATTTTTACGGTTGTTCAGGTATGTGTGGAATTATATATATATATATATATATATATATATATATATATATATATATATATATATATATATATGTATATATATATATTATTGGGATTTTTAAAGTCTTGGTGCGCCAAGCAATTAATTAGCTAATCAATTAATTAATTAATTAAAATTATTTAAATGATTTGATTATGACTCTATCACACTTTTTAATTCTCTTATCTCAGGGTTAAATTCGTGCTTCAATATCTATGCTATTACATGTGAAAGGTAAGGTCCAAAGAATACTGGAATAATAAAAAACATATAGGATCTAACATTATATTATATTGAAATAAAATAATGAAATAAAATTCACACTCAAAAATTTTCAATAAACAAAACTCATATAATGATTCTCAAAATTTTGTTCTACGTACGTGAACCTTCAAAATTAATGATACAAACAATATTAGTTGAAATCTCAAAATCCCAAATATTATTCTAAATCTCCTAATTAAAATATTTATATCCTTTCTAAATTAAGTGTAAAAATTGTGTTATCAATAAAAGAAAAACTGCAGAAAACAAAACTATCTCTCTCTGATGATGAGTGGTCCAAATCCTTGTTCCTTGTAGACTATGTTATTTACTCTCAGCCGCTCCCTAGGTAATCAGCAATCTTACAACAAATTATTGCAAGTTTATCGTCCTTAATGATCTCCTTCAAATGCACGAATCGTTCAAATTATGTTAGCTTCTTCTTCTCTCAATAAACTGAATCTCTCGTTGGCCTGAACAGTGACTCTTGGAATATAAGTAGAAAATATAACTTACAATCTTTTACTGGATCAGCTTCTGTCAGATACACTAACTACACGAAAACTCACAAACTTTCACTGCTACTGCTTCCTACCTCTGGGAAACTACCCGAGAACAACGGCCGTTCGCCTTCTACCCTTGGAAACCAACTGATTATCTTTTCTCTCTCAAAAATCTAGCTAAACTCTCATTCCTACATACCTATCCCACCTTTTTCAATCTCCGCCAATAAAAGCTCGTCACATTTCTCCCATTTTTTCATTTCGATAACAAACAAATTTTTACCTATAATTATAAAATTTCCTAAAACTTATTTACAAATAATATTTTTCTACAATTCTTAAAAACTAACAAAAACCTATCTTTCTAAAATCTATTCTATTGTCCTTAATCACCGCATTAATGTATTTGGAAAACCCGCTTCAATTGTCTTTGGATTTCACTTAAAATTATGCGGGTCACTCAAGTATATTATAACAAAGAAAATAATTTATGCATAGCTTACATTTTGTTTAATACAGGTAATCCAAAAATTTAAAGACTTTCCTTCTTCGAAATGTTTGTTGGTTATTATCCTACTTATCTGCATTATTTTAATGTTTTTGAACTTTGAAATATTTTAAACAAACCAATATTTTTCTCGATTTTACATATCATAACAATATATATATATATATATATATATATATATATATATATATATATATATATATATGTATATATGTATATATGTATATATATATATATATATGTATATATATATATAATATATATATATATATATATATATATATATATATATATATGTATGTATGTAGATTAAATACCCAGAGATAGGGTTGAGTTATTATCCAAAATGTTTGAAGGATCTTTAAACCTAAGATATTGGCACAGGGAACATTGGAATGCATCTACTGTAATTTTATATTTCAATTACCTACCAAACACGAACTGTATTTTTTGTCAATAAGTTTTGTAATAGGTCATCTACCAATATTAATTTATTATTTATTACAAAAACGATAAAAATGTAAAAAACTATCATTATACTGTATCCTACGTATTATAAACTATAAAATATTCGGGGCAAAACAATGCTTTTCAAAACGTGACAGTTACTGTCCAGTATCTCACTGTAATGTTTTATTATAATAATTTAAAGTTATGTCTAGATTAATTGTCTATCATTATTTTTGTGTATATACTTTCTTGAGGAATATATTATAAACTTTCAAAACTGGCTGAATGACGAAAGTCTATGCCACAAAAAAAATAATTATTTTTGAATTGAAATATTTTCATAAATTGTTTTAAAACACAAATCAATGTATGGGTACTTAATTGAGATGATGAAAAATTACAAAATAAATATGAGAATTTCTTAGCATGCATGTTTAAAAAATTTAATGTGACTGACAGATCGAGAATGCTCGATAATGTTTTAGTTTTTAGTATACTCAAAACTGGTGGTCTGTCACACAACCCTGCTTTAGCTGGTTTCATATAATATTTCCGTTAAACTGGCAACGGTGCCCTAGAAATTAGAATGACACATGTGACAAGATCAACGGACACAACTTAAAAAACACGATTTTTTATTATCCAGTTTTTTATGACGCGAACGGTACGTCGGATAAACATTGCTGTAAGTTTTTGATCATGCAATTTGGAAATATGAAACTTTATTAAATCTTAAATATTAGATTTTAATGTAGAATTCGATATAAAGGGAGATTTAAAAATACAACATTTTTAATTAGAAAAAATATCCGATACCTAGAATACAATTTTTAAAGAAATCTTCATTTTGTTTATAATTAATATTAAGAGTTTGAACACATCTCATTTTTGCATAAATCTTATATACTAAAAGGCTAAGCCCTTCTCTTGTGCGCAATACTCCTCCTAAACGGTGATAGATAGGAGAATAATTTTTTCGAATAATTAAACAGATTGTTGAGTAGATTCCCCCTAAGGTTTCAAATTTAAAAAATTCTAACCGGTTTAAAAATGGCAGTCATAAAATGAATTTTTCCTATAGTAAAGTATAGGAATTTTACAGGTTTCATTCTTCAAAATTTACAGTCCTAATCTTCAATGTATTTTTAAAATATGACCGCGTCTACTTTTTTCTTATACTTACTGATTGAATTCAGAATTATGAAACCGGAAGTATTTACTTCCCTACTTCCGGATTTAGTTTAGAAAATTATGGTTTCTTTCACGGTGTTCCAGAGCATATGGACGGGATCGCGAGTTCTCAAACCGAGTTCTTTTTTTAAACGTGGCATTTTACAATCTAAGATATGCAAAAAAAGTTACTTCCGGTTTTACTTCCGTTTTTTATTTAAGAGGGGCGGAGTCTAACAATCATATTGTTTTCGTTTCCTAATGTAAATCTTCCTGAAAATCCTAAAAAACTACTGTAAGTATCGATTTTCAATTTAAAAAATTGGCGTCGATACAGTTTATTTTTAGGATTTTTGGAACATTTACACCAGGCGACGGAAACGATGGATCGTTAGACTCCACCCCTCTTAAATATCAGCAAAACTCACAAAACTTATATCAAAACTCGATGTCGAGTAGTCGAGTTGGTCCGCTAGTGTCCACTATATTTAGTAAAAATTAGAAATGAAAATATTTAAACGGAATCGAGATATCGACAGTTAAATACAAAATTTCATTAAAATTATAAAATCAAATGTTTATTATTTTTTCATTTTTATTTAGATGTTCCCCCACTCCAATAAAAAAAAATTCTTTAATAAACAGATTTTTATTATGAACTATTTTGATACCAAATTTGTCCGGTTGCCAATGAATTATAGGATATGGTCATCTTTTAGGGGATTTTCTGCTTGCTTATGCCCTTAATCTTGTTGTTTTTGTTTTAAAAATAATTTTATACACTTGTGTCATAATATAGGTACTATAATAAGTATTTGACGTTTTTTTTTATTTTATTATGTTCCAGTGCTTATGCATTTATTATATCTACATGACTACGGGATTAGGTGCATGGATGGTGCTAGAAAGTGTTGAACATATAGTTGTCAGAATGAGACATCTATTATTTTTGTTTGAGGACGCTCTTAACCAAGAAGATGCAAGAACTAGGCGTGAAAAATTTAATTTTGCGGTTAGATATCACGTATCTCTTCTAAGGTATTGTACTTTGACATTATACTTCAAATAGTTTAAAATTTAAATAATGCCTATTTTTTTACTTTGATAAAATAAACTTTTGTTATTTTATAAAGCTCAGCAAATCCAACAAGCAAGCAATTTAATCAAACTCAGCCTGTGAGAGATGTTCACAACTTAAAAATACGTTCGGGTGTAACAATTCATTGGAGCGAGGTGCATGAACTAGTGTAAAACAGGAGTTACTTTACCCCGCTTTAATGCTACAGACCACCCCTTTCTCTCCTATAGCACTCTGAAGCGCGATAGGGGTACAAGTATCAGCCAAATTCTCTTTATAGAACTCCAACATAGTTCTCTGATCGATTTAAATTCAGGCCAGCGTACGGGGCTTTATTGCTGATATCCTTTTGGGCGGTAAATCTAATTTGTTTTAGGCCTCTTTATATTATTTGTCCACCGTGTCCTTCTCTTCAGTCTGAATCCCTTATATGAATGTAGTAACAGCATAATTTTTTATAATTTTTTTACAATTCCCGTCCATCCTTTTTTATCCTGGCCCAGTTTAACCTTCCAAAATTAGAACGATTAGTCGATGGTCAAATACCTGGTGAACTTATCGTTTTCAATTCGAAACTGCAGCTAGAGTAAATACCTGGACTGAAAACGAAATGGTAGCTTTCTTAATACTGTCACTTCGAGGACAAACAGCAAACGTCTTGCAATTTCTTCTTCAGAATACACCTACTTATAGAGATGTCAATTCTGATGTTTTTGCACGCCTGATTGACTACAACAAGACTTTTAATAGAGTCAGGCATGAACAAATGATGGAAGAGAACAGGGCTTGACGAAAAAGATCTAAAAATAATAGCTAACTTGTATTGGAATCAATCAGCAGTGCTCCGAATAAATCATACACAAATCAGGTGAAAATTTTAAGGCGAGTGAGACAGGGGTGCATAATTTCACCACTGATATTCAGTCTGTACACGGAGCATATTTTTGAAGAGGCACTAAAAGATATTGATGGAAGCATCTTAAATGGGGGCAAGCTCAATAACCTG